ACTAGCAGTAATGATGATAATGAATTACAGGCTTGATAAATAATTGGAAAAGGACAAAAACACTTACATTTGAAATTTTACAGTTACAAAATTATGGAACCTATTAGTATGCACACGATTGGGGCGAAGATTATTTCCAGATCTTAAAGACATGCCATGACAAGAGGTTACAACTCGATCATAAATTAGAGAGAAAATTGGGTTGTCTGGTTTGACTCTGATGTCCCTAATGAATTCCTTACATTTCTCATTGCGCCTTTGCTCGAGAGTTTTTAGATTGGCTTTAAAGGGACACTGTCAATGGCACGCATGCGCGAGTAAACTTGAAAACACTAGGCTAGTGTTTTCAAGTTTATGACTCCAAGTTGGCGCGACATAAATCAGCTCGTAAACGTATTAAACAGATCTAGAATATTCCAAAGTGTGTCAAAAGAACCACAAAATGATTTACCTCGAAGGTAATACTTTCAAAGACCATTAGAGGTGAGACTGTTACTGCGCATGTCATCCATTGACAGTGTCCCTTTAACTAACGAAACAGAATAACTAGAATCTGGCCAAATAATAGCCAGCGCCCGCCTTTGGATGTTCTCAAGAGTAGCAGAGATATTTTGGTAGGCCAGCAAAAACAACAGAAGCGTATTCTAAGGTAGATCTTATGAGCGAAGAATAGACTCTAATCATATCAGCCGGCTGGGCACCGCACTTTTTTAGTTGACGTAGGATATGTAATAGTTGACGTATGATATGTAATGGACAGAGCTCCACCTTGCTGTCACCACGCACCACACTACACTTTTCTTTGTAGAAGGGTGAAGAAAAACTCTCTACTCACAGGGTAGTACCATACTCAACTAGACCCTATATGCAGGGTTGACACGTACCCTTTGTTGTGCATGATGTTGTGAGATCATTAGTAAATGAGGCCTTATTAAAACCTTACTGATACAGAATAAAGAAATGATTTGATCCATCGAGCCTTGCCAAAATATATGTGATTTTTGCGATAAGCTTATATGTGGTGGCTCTTAAAATTTCAGCTGTAACTGCCTTTGTGATTCTGCAGTATAATTTTAAGGTCAGATATACCCGGAGATATATAACTAGGCATGATTTGGTTACAACGTGACGCTTTATTAACTTTTGATATGATAGTAACACAATATTTTTGCACATCTACATTAAAACTCGACATATCTATTGCAGATGTTTGAATAGCCATGGAATTAATAAGCATTTTCTAAAGAGTTGTATTGATATTCAATCATTGGAACCCAATCACTATATCGTTGCCGTTGCTTCACGAGTAGTAAGCGTGTTGATCTCTGTAGTGAGATCTCCTCGTCATCACAATTCAACATACCCTTGGTCCGAACACCCAGACAAGTAATGAGTTCCAGATTTTGGTCGTAAACCTTCATGTTCTGTTCCATATTCGTTAGTAGAGACAATATTCATCAAAATGGCGGATAAAACATTGTGCAGAACGAGTTGGAAATGTTGCGAACGGGATTATCGACAGGCTATAGCGTTCGGAATACACAACGTAATGTGATTGGCTACCGGATATATAATTCACAATGTGATTGGCTACGAAGATGTACCGAAGCCAAACTTTCGACATTGTGAAAAAAAAAAANATCTGGCCAAATAATAGCCAGCGCCCGCCTTTGGATGTTCTCAAGAGTAGCAGAGAGATATTTTGGTAGGCCAGCAAAAACAACAGAAGCGTATTCTAAGGTAGATCTTATGAGCGAAGAATAGACTCTAATCATATCAGCCGGCTGGGCACCGCACTTTTTTAGTTGACGTAGGATATGTAATAGTTGACGTAGGATATGTAATGGACAGAGCTCCACCTTGCTGTCACCACGCACCACACTACACTTTTCTTTGTTGAAGCCGTGAGGAAAAACTCTCTACTCAGCTGGTAGAGCATCAGTGTACAATCAGAGGGTCGTGTGTTTGAACCCCAGCAAGGTTGAAAATTAATTTTTCCAATTTTTTTCCCAAGGGTCTTTCTCCTGGAATATCCTCCTTCTAAGCATTATAACTCTCCTTTATTTCGATATCATGTTAATCATAGTGTCATGTGGTCATCATATTCAATCACTACACAAGTGGATGTGAAGTTTTATTGAAAATGTTGGTGTTGGGTGTCATCAGGATACCTGTGTATTTTTTCCAGTATCATATTCCATCATTATGATTGTTCTCAAAGGTACACAGACAACATGGAAGGACTTTTCAAGTCATTATGCTTGCAGCACATGCCACCAAATATGCAGAGCATAGACCGCAAGAAATCTGGTAAGACTTGCTGCGCCTTTATTCTTAATGTTGATACTTTTGGAGTTGTTGTTGTTGTTGTTGTTGTTTTTTGTTTGTTTTTGTCAAAATAACTGACCTTAGTATCAACTATTTTGCTATTTTTATATTTATTTTGCAGTTCCTAGACCTAACCTTGACAGCTATGTCTTCCTTAAGATACTAGAAGACCAGGAACAAGTATTAGTTGATCCTGAGTGAGTAAACTAGATAATGGCATAAAGAAGGGACATGGAGGTTTTTAAAATCTGCAAGGGGAAAGTTGTCAATTGTGATTTGTTCACCATCACCAATGTGTTCAGTCGTTCAGCAATGGCTAATCTTCCATTGTTTTCTAGGGAGGATCCTGTGGACTTGGAAAAGGGTGCCCAACATATCATGAGATATAGTGCTATAGCACCTCTACTGACTAACGACAGTGTAGCACTTTTATAACCCACAATACATCGTACATGTACCACAATATTGGCCACTTTGATTGGAAACAGCATGGTATGGTAGTATGTTAGCATGTAGCTCTTGATATTAGCCAATCAAATTTCTCATTGTCTCCAGTTCAAGGATCTTTTAGAATAGCTACTTACACTTCAATAAGAGCTGCAATAATATTATGTGATTTAATTATATAGCCACATATTAATCCCAAATAGGTAAAAGCTGGATTTTTCGTTAATTTTGGAATCCTGTCCAATTAAGAAATTAATTGGACAGGTTTTCAATTGGGTTTTTGTTAAAAGCTGTGGTTGGCTTTTAATTACCTATTTGGGATCAATATGTGGCTATATAAAATTCCTCTGACTGCCAAATTGGACTCGGCCACGGCCTCGTCCAATTTTTGGCAGTCCTCGGAATTTTCCTCGTCCAATTATTTCTTAATTGGACAGCATGGAGTCCTATTACATATAAAAATGACCATCCAAAATTATGGGATATCATTTATTTTTGAGTTCGTCTGGTACAAGGATATATAATATTGATTTTTTGAAAATAAAATTCGTCTTTTCCTTGATTTTAGTAATAACGACATGTAACGCATGTAACGCAGACTATAATTTTAGCCACTAGAAATATTGAATTTTGGTGTCGTTACTTGTGTTTTTTTTGTTTTTTGTTTTTGTATGTTTTTATGTGGTAAGTTGCAATAATTGTCGAGCATTGCGAGCGGTCTACCAAAGATATATAGACCGGAGAGAAATCGAGATCAAGCAATCTGTAATAAATGTAATTTTATAAGTGTCTATGCTTGGAGCTGTAAATATCTCCAAATGTATGTCAATAAATATCAAAATATATGGCGCTACGCGTCGTGGTTTCCTACGCTTCTCTCGTGCTCTCCCTACATCCCGCGTGTTTTGATCAGAGTATTGAAACACGGAATTTCGTCTTTTATTCCTTAAGTAAAATATATAACAGCGGTTACGTGTAATTCGCTTTGTTTTCTCGTGTTGTGTTGCTCAACACTTCTTGTCACAGTTGTCTTGTCACAGTTGACATCACGCATCGATCCTCAGTCATTCACATGAACAGTGAGAAAAATATCGCTCGCTGATTGGCTGAAATCACGCTTGCACGTGCACAACGGTGTACAAGAATGGTGCGATGGCCAAGTAGTCATGCAAGTGAAATCTCTATCAGTTTGTAGTTTTGCCGCAAAGCAGTAGAGYTGTGTGTTGCGAGATCCTCAAGTCATGCAGGTTTAGTCAAATTTCTGTAGAATCTATTGCTTTCAAGTTTCAAGGATTTTTTACAAGGGTTATTTTTGGGGAACATTTGGATTGTTGACATTTTGTGCACCGACAGCAAAATCGAAAATATCATCCACGCTATGCCGGCATCTAAGACGTTGAAATCAAGTCTTCTTGGCGCTGCAAAAAGTGATACATGCCTCAACGAATCGAGAAGGGATAAAAAAGTCCATTTTGCTGATACACTAGGCCTATCTTTGGTTTCTGTGCTTCATTTCAGCGATCCGCCACGTTCACACAACCTTCGAAAAGTAGGGATCAGACCCGCTTCTTGTCGAGGCTGTGGAAGGATCGATAGAGCAAGAGTACTTAATTTTGTCAATCCTTTAAGTGGTAAAAAACTCCTTGAAGCTTTGGAAAGACAAGCAGTTTGTCTAGAGAGCATAACAATAAGGGAATATAGTATACAAGGAAACATTAAAGTGAAAAATCTGGCTTACGAGAAGCGTTTGTTTATACGCTATACTAAAGACAACTGGGCGACTTACCAAGAAACTGCAGCCAGTTATGTTTATGGTTCAAGCACCGGCTCCGTAGATACTTTTAAATTTGAATTAGCTATTTCAGAAGACTTAGAAAAAGACATAAAGATAGAATTTGCAATTTGCTACCAAGTATTAGGAACTAGGATCTGGGACAACAACTGCGGAGACAACTACAGATTAATTTGGTATGGCTCCCAGAAGCTTCTGAAAAGCCGGGACGTTTTAGATATTTTCCAAAGCAGCAGATATGCAGGATTTTGGATTTAAGTTAAAGATTTCTATGAATAGTTCCCAAGAAAATAATTTTAATAGAACTAAGTTTAAAGATAATTTATTTTAAGGGGTTGTGCTTGTTCGATCAGGACAAAAACAGGAATTAATCTTTTGTTGTGTAGTTAAAATTAATATTGTATTGTTATGCCATGACGCAGTTGTAAAGCCAAAAGCTGTACTAACTTTATAGCTTTCCATCAACGAAATATTTTTAATTTACGTTCAAAAAAGTGCATTTACAAATCAAACAAAAGTCCACGTACAGCATTATCAACACTTTGTAGTCGTTCCTAAGCAGCAAAAATGCAAATTTTTCGAGTCAAGTTTCAACTATATTTTGGTGAGTGTCGAAAACATAGATTCAAAACGTTTATTTTCTAGGGTCCAAACTTTAGGTGGTTTTGTAAGAAAAGTTTTAAAGCCAATACTGGTCTATAGTATTTATCRAAAATAAATTAAAATAGCAACATTAATTATGTGACTCAGTGTTAGTTATTATAAAGAACTACTATTAATAGAGAACGATTCCATATGTCAATTGAAAATTAGAGGAGTAAATGCTATAACTTCTGGAAATGCACACTAATGAATATACTGAGGGTTCAATGTTCAGTCAAAATTTGACCGGTCAAATCTTGCTGTGAAAAGACATTTCTTTTCTTAGCTCAAACATACTTTGACCGGTCACGCTCAACCTTTCAAGAGATTGGGTTACTATGTTTGTCTTTTTTAATCACACTACTGAAGGGTATGTACTCAAGACATAGACTTTGTACTGAGTGAAGTGTTTACATTGCYTATCATCCCATAATAGTCACAAAGTTAGTTTTGCTTCAGATATTTCTGAAGGACCTGGCATTTTATTTATTGTCTGGCAAGGAAGAGGAAATTGAGTATTAGTTGAGAACTTTCTTTTATTCTTCTTTTTGCAAGACTGCACAACTGAGTGTTTATAACCTTAGATGTTACAACTCACTTCACAGGGATATATAGGCTTTGRATATTAGTGTTCCAATTATCCTAAATCAAAGACAAAGAAGCTTAACTTATTGCTGTATCTCCTCCTTCAAAAGAGACATTATTGCACCAGGCATATTTCAAAAGAAGTGTAATTATATTATCATAGTTTAGYCACCTGTGCTTAGGGTCAAAATTTCAGAGTACACAGTTCAGTGATACCAGCCTTTACTTTGTTAGACACCCGCGCGAGAGGCTTGTCTTAATCTCTTTTTATGAGAGAGTAAATTCTACTTTATAAGTTTTTGTAAACACAAGAATGATTGTACTACAATAGCTTATAATGCTCCAAAATTAGAAAACTCTACAAATTTAATGTTTGGTTCTGTGCTCTAAGTTAAAAATGCACCTTGGATAGTGTTTCATAGTCACTCCAACACTGAATCAAAGTTGAAAGGATATACAGTGCATTTCATAGGTGGATTTACACGGAACGGTTGATGTGYGTGACTTGCAGTATCTGATTTCCTATGGCAAGTTGGAGGCTTTTGAACTGTGATTTGAGTCTTGTTCTATGACATAAATTAGCCTTTGATARTAATGTGCAAATTACTCCTCTTTTTGCAGAAGCTTTTAGAATTTTAGTCATTATGATATCTGCCAATGATGTCAGTTCTTGTTATTCAAGTTCAGAAAACGATTCCTAGTTAAGGGAATAATGTGTTTAGTTTGCTATATAAAACCTTGACTTCTGTCATTTTTTCATCAGTCCAACCAGCATTACATATTTCCTTTGCTTTCCCATCGCTGTTTTTGCTCAAAACCCCAATGAAGTTTTCTCTTTTTTCTCTTTTCAGTGTTTTGCTGTTCTTGTSCTTTTCTTTTCTCATCAAAGTCTCTGCTCTTAATAGCAATGGCTGCTTTATTCACAAACTCTTGAGCCACAAGCTGCTCACTAAGGGAATCTGCTTCTCTGAAATCACCTTTTTCAATTGCTTTGTTGATTTCTTTTTCATGCTAAAATATAAAATAAAACAACAATTTGTTTTATGTGATATCATCAGGAATAATGGCATTCAATAGAGTTCAATGGCATAAACAAAAATTGATTTTTTGAAAAAGAATATAATTTACATGTTCTAAAATAACCATCACTCTTTTATAAAAGATTAGTTCAACATTTCTTTCACAGTGTTGTTCATGGCCAATATTTTAGAAGGCCACATGTATACATAATCCTTTTGCACATTTGAATCAGTCCCTATCAGTCCCCAACAGTCCCTAACAGTCCCCAACAGTCCCTATCAGTCCCTAACAACCCCAACAGTCCCTAACAGTCCCTATCAGTCCCTATCAGTCCCTATCAGTCCCTTCAGTCCCCTGGAACCAAGTAACATGAAGTACAATTATAAAACATACATGTAAAGATTTAAATGCTTAGATGCAATGCAAAATATGATAATTAAAAGTTTGGCGATTTGCTTATCAATTCCGTAAATTTGTGCTTTCTACAACGCTCTTTCAGAATATGGTAACAAAAATGTATCGTTGTAAAAACTATGACTTGTACAGTGAGTGTCATTCTTGAGGACTGAAAATGGTTAAGCCATGCACAGTACCTTGCCACATCCATTAATTAAAATTTCTTTGGGTTTTCACTTACATTTTTA